TGAACATTCCTAAAAGATATTCAAGCATACATTGACTAGTAGCAGGTCTCAATAATCAAATTATGGATCTAAAAACTACATGATTAATTATACTGCATGTGAAGTTTATCCCTCATCTATGAAAACTAACAACTATGTAATATTAGAATTATGTACAAGTTATTTAATCAGAAAAATAATGATAATGATCGTGAGCTAACAGAAGTTGGAAATATGGAGCATTGGATTCTGACCCAGTGGCTTAATGGTAACGCGCTGGCCGCGGAACCTGAAGGTCGCGGGTTCGATCCCTGCTGGTGTGGGGTCGTGGGTGCGCACTGCTGAGGAGTCCCCTACTAGGACGAAACAGCTGTCCAGTGCTCCCAGGTTTCCTTTGTTCCTCCAAATGATGTCAGTCTACGATGAATAACAACTTCAGACAATGATAACAATAATAATGATAATAATATTGTTATTTTGAATTCACTTCGATATAAATTTGTAAAACATCGATAATACAAAACCTTACCGCTGGGTTTATGGTAGAAATGCTGAAGACTTGTCCATGCATTTTAGATGAGGTAAAATAAAATCCGTCAAATAGAAAATCAAATAAACAGAAATTCCGCTATTGTCAACAAGAATAATATACTGGTAATAATGGTGATAATTTTCTACAATGACTCAAAATTTCACATAATTATTCTCATAATTGTGCGAATAAGTATATATATAAAGTAGAACATTATTGCATGGATAAGCAATTTTATTGGTGAGTACATACACAGACAGATGTGCCTGCCTGTGCTCACACACTGTCACAGTAGTCATGTGAAAAGTATTTCAATAGCTATTTTCAGTTATGACAGTTTAGTGCAAACAACACTAAAGACTTGAAAATAATAGTGAAAGCAACAAAATAATCAAACAAAAAACGAATTTACTATCTACATATAACTACTATCACAGGGTAATATTCATACTAAAATAAAAATATGCATTCGAATTTAGCTGCCAGTTACACAATATTTACCAAATACTAAATCGCCGTCAAATAAAACATTCACGAGACTATCTAGGATAGCCATGATTTGGTAGACTAATGTCGTTCATACTGAGTGATGATTGAAGATGAAGTGAAAACCTTGATCGCTGCAGAATTCGAACCAACGGCTTCCAGATCACCAGCTCAGTGCAACTCTAAACTGAGCTATAAGATCCAGCTGTTGACTGAATTCTAACTTTTCTTTAGTCATCAGAGGTCTTGCCCGGTTTAGCAATCAGTGTGATCACAGTGAATGGACGATGATGTACGACGGATCCAAGTGGCTACCGGGGGAATCTTCGGTGACAGAAATGAAGTTAGGAACTGATCAACAGCTGGGCTTCGTAACTCAGTCAACAAGACTACTATATTGCGTTATAGATAAAAAATGCTAAACACTCATAATCCTCCATTTCCAACACCTTCCCTTATATTACAGTGCTACTAAGTTTCGGAAACACTCAACTCTGCAAGCTACAATAACCGATAAATTCAGCTATTTGAAAAACAACGCAAATCTCATAAAAAACCAATCAGTGAACCCTTCAAGCTAACCTATCCTTTAATTCAAACTATTGTGGGTGTATGCAATAACTTTAGAGGTTTGAACTAAGAAAAAGAATAAAAGAAGTGTGGAAACATAATTACTACAGGAAACTGTCTAAATAAGTAATCAGATCCCAACGCTAACGGAATGAATAAACCGATATGACACCAAACCAGTAAACTGTTCAATAGATTAGTCAACGAAAATTGTCAGTTTTCATCAGGAAAAAAAAATAATACTCCGTGAATACAGCATTCATATTTGGGTTAAGTGATTAGTACAATGAAGTCGTTTTTACAATGCCCATTTCAGTCCGTATATCACATAATATAAAGTTCAAACTAATGACAACCATTGAGTTAAACTGAATTCAAGAAGACATCAGAAATTCCCATTCTTGTTTAATCGATAGTATAGCAAATCAAACTTGTATGGATAATAATCTTGTAAAACCACCCTACATTCTATATACAAAGAATAGTTACAGCATCATAACTTAATTGAACTTCTATTCAATTTCTCTGAAAGAATGAAAAAAAATTATACACAGAGATTGAATGAGAACAAGAAAATATCATGACACATACGCAAATTGATTTAGAAACAAAATCATCACTTTGTATACTACACTCCCATTACCACAATGTTCTAAATAATTTTCTCATTTATTGTTGTTTTCATAAACATAGATAAGGTATTTATCTGATGCGCTTTACATTAGCCCGATGTTACTGGAACAACCAGATTCCTACTTATTCACTTCTTAGAAAATCAACTATGCTTAAAAGTTTCTAGTAGACTTCATAAGTATATTTTCCCTATTCAGTGTGTTACCAGAGTACAATCCATCCACCGTTCATAAGGCAGACATTCACTACTTTAGCGACTCAAAATTAGAGTACCTTTGCTTTCAGTTTGGCTCAAAAACCTGAAGTGATTTTTGGTTCTAAACCCCATAACATAGTCGCAACAACAATATAACTACTATGATATGTAGTTCAACAGGCTTAATAACTTTATTAGACAAACCACTTTGGGAGTTCATACCGTTCTTTACCCGTCAGGATTTTCGTAAGCAGGTAGTATCACTTCTCTTCATACATCAGGGTTGGGTTATTACTTGGTGCAGGAATCAGTGGGTAAACTGTGAGCCTCATTATGTTAAGATGACAATTTACAGGCGGTCAGGTAGCCTGACAGTAAAACGCCTGCAGTTGGTAATGTGACTCAACCCAGTACATGTTTATTTACAAGGCTGAGCCACACTTGTTGCACGAGAACTTATGATACTAACCGGTTGTGTAAGCCGAGGTAGATGGAGCGGGTTTCGAACCCGAGACCTATTGCTCAAAACACTTACAGCTAAGCACTAATATCTCGATGTCCTTACAGTGGCTTTTTAATGGCTTCAAAGAACAGGAGCGAAAAAGTGTGGTCAGTCGTTGGAAATAATCTGTCAACTGACACTTCATAATTTAAAGCAGAATCCATATCTCACTGGGTAATAGTTTATTGGTTTATGCATTCGAATTTCAATCAGTAATCTAGGGATACAAACCGCATTCCACCCACGGGGCTTTAGAAGGTCAAATAGTGATACTCATCCTTGGAATATACGCAATCCATTGAAAGAATATTACTTGCTTTTAGAGATAAAATGTACTACATTATTATTCACATTCCTCAAGGTGGGTTCTCTGGATAGTTGGGACAGTAATAAAATGCGTTTGAAAGCTTCTTAATGGTTAAGACGAATACCGAACGCACTAGTAAGCATTACTCTTTCAAATTTTTAATGCTTGCTATTCGGTTCAATATGCTTTTGACAGCAGTTAAAATTATCACCACCTTATCTGCTAGTCTGTTGTTCGGAAGTAACCACGCTTTTAGCCTACTCTTGAGCAACAGAAAAAAATATACCTTAAGTTTACATGAAAACATGTCACCAAGCTTAAAGACGACACAGTGATTGTAAGAGGAAAACTGTCGAAACACAATGTCATGAATCCTGAACAAAATTAATATTTACTTTAAGTTCAACAGCCTAATCATTGACTCACATTTTAGCAAACAATTTTGAGGAAGAGAATATTACATACAAATGTCGGTGACAAACTTGATTGGAAATAGAAACGGCAAGTATCGCTGATGGCAGTCAACCAGCGTCGTAAACCCAGATGACTTGTTACTACCCTGCAGCATGCCTAGGTAATTTAATGTACAGTCTTTAGTAGACAATGATGTGTAGTGCTGTGGTTCATTGATTTAGGTAGTTGACTTCCGACCAGGGGGTCAGGAGTTGAAACACCACTTTATATACGGAGGTTAGTTCAGTCAGGCAGTACCATTAGCCGTCAAGAAATACGTGAGGCTCACTGTCCACTACATGAAGGTGAACGCGGTTAATGAATGCATATCGATTTCCAAACAATGATTTCTTGGCAAACACAGGGTCGGGAACTATTGATACAAGTATATGAATTTTAACTTCAAAGCATAGATCAGTATTCTTTGTGCATATCATGTATCAAAACAATAAAACAAAAGAGTTACATAGCAGATCATTTATTAGGTGTCATTCAGTGAAAATGAATTGCTTTCTACGCACGATTTTAAGAACGACTTAGCTGTGCCCACCTCAGACTTGTTCGGAGAACGAAGCGTGCATGAGACTCAGTTTCAAAAGAACAACATCTTATGAAATGAAAAACTACTCTTGATCGCAAAACATTCAGAGGGAAACTGTCATACAGCAGCTAAGTGACAAAATGAAGAAATCAATACTTCCACTACATCCATCTTGTTGTTTTCAACTACACTACTTATATTAAATACAAGTAGTACATTTTGTAATAAACATTTTAATTATTCAGGAACAAATGTTTGTTGAAAGTGAGACCGAAAATCAAAGGGGAATAGTTATGATATTTGATTCCAAAAGTATGGGATAAAAATTAAAATCACAAACTTGACATCAGTCAGTATGAAAAACTAAGTGGTGATTCAAATCTAAAATTAAGTTTTGTAACTCACCTCAACCGAAATTCACAATGAATGATAATGGTGAAATCCACATGCTACGTATATGTTACGTGACTCATTGTAACCCAACACAATATGTATTACACTATCCTTACAACTAACTGTTATAGAAATTCGTCAATAATAAGGATAATATTAGAATTTATCTTGAAAATAGTAATAACCAACATCTCAGTTACCACTTGTGTGGTTGTACGTCACGCAGTTTTGATAAAGAACACTATCTGCTTGTCCGTGTTTAATCTCCTTGTACTGCAGATAAACCTCATGCTTCGAATTCACTCGACAACAATCACACGACAGAATACACTATCAGAAACATAGTATAGAAGTAATCAGCAAAAATATATATTGACAAACTGATGCGTAAATGCCACTGATACTTACCTTCTGTAAGTACAGATATAGGTTTTTGAAACCCCTATGTTTAGCGATATATGCGCGCACGGAGACGAGAGCTACCAATGAAATATCATTCTGTACATATTGTGGTTTTACTTTTGCATTTTCTACAGCAGGCTGAGAAAGAACTAATCGAAAAGAGAATTCAGTAAATTCAGGAAGAGGTTGAACAGTTAGACATAGATTATGGCCAGAAGAACGAATTAACTGTACAATTTCATTGCGCGACATTGAGTTCACAAGCCCACCATTGATAGCAACGAGGTAATCACCTGGTAGGAAACCACATGAACAATTTTGCAACACATAATCAGTAAGAAAGACCTGCAAATGAAGGAAATCAATATGATTCTCTGTGAAATATATCACGTTGTGGCTTCATTTACGGATGTTTTCAAGCAACGTTGGCATGCATCAGAATTAAAGCTACTAAATGAACCGGCAAAAGTGTCCCGTATGTTCTAACATCAATTGATCTTAGAAAAACCAGATGCCCTGAAAGAAAGAACAGACGCCGTTGTTTCTCTCTCTCCCTATATTTATATAATAAAAATAGTGGTTAATATTTGTTACACTCTCTTATCTGCCAACAAACATCCACTGTCACTACGCCTAGTTGGTCAAGGCAGTAAATCAACGATTCCACATAAGGAAAAGATGAAATGAATGAGTAAACATGAGTTAACAAACCATATCTCTGCATCAAAGGAACCTACTCATCTAGATTATTGATAAGATATCAATCAAATTACAACTAACTAATGGTAAAAAAGGACCACAAAGAAGTGAGTGTTGGTCACCGTTCAGCAGGTGAGTAAGCATGTGACAGAAATATAAACTGCAAAAGAAGATACACACAAGATAAAGCTTCAAAAGGCCCTGGTATTCTACAGACAAAGATTACCAAAATCCGTCACGTTACACACAGAAAAAATGTTACTCTACCAAGTTTAATAATAGATAACGCCGACTCCTCCAATAAAGGGATTACTGGAAGAAAGAAACTTCAAAAGAAACACAAAAACTAAAGGGAAGGAAACAAAAGCATCGCGTCTCGGATACAAACAACAGCAGAATAAACGCATAGCAAAAACAAAATGTCATATTTCCTCAACAAACAAATCAGACCACCTCGAAAGCAGGAAAACAACTGAAGTCCACAGCTTACATGAACCTAGAGATTTCTGCAACCTACACACGTAAGTATTGGAACTGCATAATACCTGTTGATACCGCTAGACCATAGACAAATGTAAATTAGCTGCGAGGTAATGGTACAAGTTCGTTCATTTGTTCTATAGTACAGTACTCTAGGAGTTAAAAGTGTACTCTGTAGGCCTTGTGCTCATGGAAAGCAATAAACATATATGCATTCAAATGCAGTGTCTTATATACGATAAAAGCCACTCATCCTGGAAGCAAGATAAACTATGGGTAACATGGAGAAAGCTTAGATGCATTCAGCACTACAGTCTTACAAAATGGCAATGAATACTACTACTAGTCCATACACTGAGCCATTTAGCAGGATAGGTGATTCATTTAGAAAGAATCATGACCCCTGCAATATTCGCCGTATTTCCCTACTTGAATGTTTGCCCGCTGAAATAGTAAATGGAGTCTGAAATCCACCCATAAATGCTACACATAACCCAGTATATATATATATATATATATATATATATATATATATATATATATATATATATATTATATATATATATATATATATATATATATATATATACTAGCAAGGAGAGACTGAAATCCAAAGACAGCGAGTAATGGCATTTGTGACAAAACATTTCATCACTTCACCTTAAGCGTCAAATAAAGCGAATCTTATGAGAAGTAACACTCCAAAGAATACTGCGGGTTACTCCAATACTGAAAAGGTGATCTCAACCCTTATGAATAAGCAAAGATAGACTCATGACGTACTGAACAAACTTGCAAAATCTTAGTTGTGCATGATCACTGTATTCGTGCTGGCCTAATAGGAAAGGTGGAAACACTGATGTCTAAGTATCTGTTTACTGATACGAATAAAAACACGACATATCTACCCACTTATTTAGGAAAGCAGTCTAGTGGCATACAAATAATCCCAAATGCCTGCTAAATAATACGGACCCAATTACACACAAAGAATGCAGCTTTATGAAATAGAACTTACTTCAGAGCGACCCTCTACAATGACCCCATCACCAAGAAGACATACACGATGAATCAATAGACCACGACGCAGCAAAACTCCATAGCTAGAATCATCATGCTTCTTCAAACTTAAGGTGCATCCTGATGAACTGATAGGGGGAAAGCTGACTACATTACTACCCCAAGTTTCTGTGCCTGTAAGATCGGCAAAGCTGATGCACCTTTTGTAACTCAAAGGACACGTTTCTCTCAATGAACAAACATCGTTATGAGCTCCTTGTTCTTCATTCACAGAAGCATTTTGGTTTGTCTTTTGCGTATTAGGTGAGACGGTTGTTTTACCTAAATCGTAAGTATCGTAGGACAGACATACCAAAAATTTGTTGGTGAAGTTTGGCAACTGCTGCTGGAGAAACGCATTTTGAATCAGTCATCGTCTTTGAGTTCCGATTTTTATGCAGTCGATCCACATGATGCATGTTAGATGGAAACCCTTCTAACAAGAACTAATCACGTATGGCATTTATTTATTGCCATAGACACAGAGTTGTACAGAGCGGTTCTACTCAAGGCAGGTATTCCTTCTGGTTGGTGCATTCAAACCAGGTGACTGCTCATAAAGTGTGCAAACTGCAAGGTTAACAGACGACAACGTTCAATCTCAGTTAAATGCTCCACAAACATCCAACATCGATAGTGACAGCATAGGAAACTGATAGTTTTTGGATTCTTGCATCTTAATCATCATGCTTAGTTCCCTCTGCTCCGGTCTCAGTACTATCCGAAGGATTTCTGCCTTCAGCTTCTCAAGCAGTGACTCCTCGCTTACAGTCCCCCTCACCCCAATAATAATAGTACCAATAATTTATTTTGAGTAATGAATTACACAAGCGCCCGCTATTTTGCAAACTGTTCTCGGTGAATCTGAAATGGCGTGCAAGCCATAAATCATCACGGCACATACAGTTTCCGAGGTTATGCGATAGTTTGGATATTACTAGCCACAAGTATTAGGTAAGAGCCACATCCCCGCACAACAGAAGTGAACAGTAATACGGGCATCACCACTCAGTATGTGCAGTAACCTGTGGGGAAAATGTTCGTGTATAACTCTCGCCACGTCCCTCTGATGGGATATGTTGGCAGGGTAATTACGAGGCTGTCGGTCTTGCACGACAACACCGTTCCGGTCAAGTTAATCGCTTGACTGATAATCTTTTATGTTGTTGTATTTAGCTGTCATACATGTCATTTAGGATGCACACAATGCTTACAATAATTGGGTCGGAACGACATACCTGATACGTTTACGCACCGTTTGGAGCAATAACAGCCGGGATGAAGTTAACCTGCGAAAGAAAGAAGGGGACCACTCACAGTTAAGCTCAAAATCATGTATCATCTTGACAACGGGGGGAACTCAACTAACTTGTTCAACGTTTCTCCACCAACAGTTTCTACTTCAGAAAAAAGACAGGGTCGGAGTGGCCAATGCCAGAAACTAGAAGCAACACTAACTCCCGTAAAAGTTATTTTAGCTGTGTCGGGGAGGAAGAGTATCTCAAGACGAACCATCAACATCAGTGGTATCAGTGGCGTCTGTGGGGCAGGCAGAAGACGAACTTTGCTTGGACAGCCAAAATATCTCGGGACAAGGCAACGTAAAGGCGTATTCAGACAAACCATGGGCAGCTAGAAGGGTAGAGGGAAAATTCACTCGAAATCTGTACACGTTAACAACCATCGTGACACACGGTGTACCTGAACCAGCAAGGTAGCTCAGTAACTGTTCGGGCCATCGCAACCATGTTGCGCAGTTGGGATGCCTGGAACCGAGAAACTGAGACCGCAAATTTAACCGGCTGACAGCATGCGTTGACTGTCAAAACTGACTCACCCAAAGAAAATGTCCGCAGCTACACTGGCAGGTTGTCTTAACTCTAAGATGGCGCCTACGGAGGCACTTGCGGCGTTCTGTCGTCCGAAAAACTACCACATAGTGTACTGACAACAAGCTCAGGTCTTTTGGAAACGAAGACAGGGGAAAACTCCTAGGAATATTATGGTCGGAAAAAAACGTCCGTTGCGCCTGCCCTTCCAGGCGTCATTATACATACCCCTCTGTCACATTAGGTTTAGGATACCAGGAAGATTCAAAAGACAGGTTGATGAGTCGACAAATCGATGGCCTATCGGTGAACCAACTCACTGCGCCAATTACATTGCATGATGCCTTGACGTGGTTCTATGGTAGTACAAGACGGTCTAAGGGTAGAATACTGAGGCCTAGAATTACATGCCTCCGACTACTTTAGTGAGACAGTCTTGTCACAGAGACATGAGTCACTTCATTTAATGCACTAAACTATTTCAACTTTTCAACGTCACAGAAACCAAGTTGACGGATGATGGTTCAAGATTGTTGCAAACCCCACAGGGATAGTTGAAATACTAAGCGAAACGTTTGGCCTTTCTTTCACTAACTGTAATCGCAGCCTTGCTATACTCACTAACACTGCAGCATGTGAAATCTCGGAAGTTGAGTTTAACCTAAACAACGTACGTGACGTAATAAACTCACTGAAACCCTCTCTTAGTGGGGGAGTAGGTGGGATACCCGGGATTTTCATTAAAAACTGCAGCGCGGACCTCCCCATATTACTAGTAAAAATATTCAGCCTGTCCTTAAACTTTGGCACTTTCCTAGTTTCATGGAAGACTAGTCATATTACTCCGTGCCTTAAAAAAGGCTCCAGACTCTACCCGGAAAATTGCCGCCCCATCAACATAACATCTATCCTCTCACGTATGATGAAGAAAGCAGTAAAAACGCCATCTTTTCACACCTTTCAGATCACAAACTTATGAATTCCTCGCAGCATGCATTTCTATCTGGGAAATCTTGTGTCACGTGTCACCTAGAATTCTTCGAACACGCAATTAACAGTAGAGACGATGGAAACGTGGTTGTCTCGCTTTACTTCGATTTCACCAAAGCTTTTGACAAAGTGCATCACCCTCACCCCTTCAGAAAGTGAACTCATTTGGAATAGGTGGCAAGTTGCATGACTGGATTGGCTCATTTCTGATGGACCGCATCCAAGTTGTTAAAACAGGCTCACATTGTTCCCTTCCCAATAATATCACCAGCGGAGTTATCCGAGTCTCCATTCTCGGACCTCTTTGTAATGTACATAAATGATATATGCGCCTGCTTTCAATCAGAGAAAACCCTCCTCTTTGCAGATGACTTGAAATTGATGTACACTTTTCACCCTGACCAATGTTGTAGCATCAATACCACCATACAAAACGATCTCGACAAGCTACAAAGATGGTGTGACACGTGGCTGCTACCCCTGAAACACAGAAGTCCGGCTTTATGCTCTTCGGTGAACAAAGAGTGCAAGCTAATCTTCGACTGAACAACATTGCACTCCTACAGCTAAATAGTATTTGCTACCTTGGAATAAGGTGCTTCAGTGACCTTTCCTTTACAGAACACGCAACGGCACAGTGCTACAAATCGTGCGCCTCATTGGCTTTATTCACCGGAATTTTCGCCTGAATGAAACCAAACGATTCTGTATAAGATATGCGCGCGACCACTGCTAGAATACTGTCCTATCGTACTTAGTTTCTTGCTGTCTAGTCACAGTCAGAAAATGGAGGAAACTCCAAGACGCTTTACCGGACTTATTTACTCGGGTGACTCATACGGGGGCAGATGTCATGCTAATCGGTTAGAGCCTGTATGGTTAAGGCCAACAAAGTTGAACCTCAGCATTTTCTATAAAGTCCTACACCATGAAGTGACTACTGACGTGGATACTGTAAAGTTCGCTGGAAAAAACCCTATAGTCTTAAAAACCAAAACTGCCAAGTCACACTACCATATGCGCCGAAACAGCTCAAGTCTTCTTTTTGCGCAACTCGTTAGGCTAACATTTGGAACAGACTGCGGCATGACGTCCGATGCCGCAAGACCATATGTCAATTGCAGTCTATCTTTAACCACTACCTCAATGAACTTGGGGTATGCAGGATTCTTAATGTCCCCTATGTAGACGACACCATGTTATTTTTGTTGACTAACATAACATTCTGTGCAAATTTGTGGTGATTGTATTTGATGCTAGTTACTGTTCCTGATCTCAATGCTGCCATAGTTCAGCTACGCTTAACCCCTCCCACAACTAAACGTTCCACCCACCGTTCCCTTTTTTCTTTGTGATAAGATAAGAGCCTTTAGGCTACGCAGTAGTACAAGTCAGTTTTGCTTGACAGATCAAGCTTGACTATTGCATGAGTAGAGGCAAACTGGTCATAAGTGTTGCCTGACGTGTGGCGTGTATCAAGGGACGATAGAGTCAATAATGTATGCGCGGTCTTAGCCAGCTGACAGTAGGCTGGAAATATCGCCGTAACCATCAACTTTATTTAGCGTTGCACAAAAATATCTAAAAAATAACGTGGAAATAGGCGAAGATGGTGATAACTGACCAAAAGGCATGATGTTGTAGGGGGGCGTGTTACCATTCCGTAACGTTTGATCAACCCTACTTAACTTGATGTGCTCTAGTACCTGCTTAACCAGTACTTTACCTAGCGTGTAAGTACTGATAACAAAACACAAATCAAAAGAACTGATACGCAATGTATTTGAAGGAGCCATATATTAAATCAAAGTAAATGTAATAACAATGGAAGGGGAAAAGTTTAATCAACTTATCTGGCTTGTAAGGATGAACTAGGGACTCGGAGAACGTGCCTGGTAATCGGCACAATGGAGCGCAAAATGGCATCCAAGCCTGCTCGGATGCATGCTCGTTAAAAAGAAACTTAAAACACCCTAGGCGTCCGGAGGCAAGCTAGAGATTTATTTAGTTAATCTAATTTAAACTATTTATTTTAGCCTTAGTTATATTTTGATGCCAGGAAGGTGCACTACAGGTTATCCCCCTCCCAGAAGGTCGTTGGGATACCGGCAACCTTCGATCCTGGGAGGCGACTGCGAGGCGGACACGCAACACCTTTCCATATTGGTGATGGGGTGGGTGACGTGTGGGTCTCCGAAGCTAGCGCAACTGTGCACACCTGCGAGGTAAGAGAACTTTGCGTCTGGACGCAACCCTTCTCGCAGTGGTGGAAGGTGACCCAAAGCCTCCATCTACTTTTCTCTATTGCTTCTTAACCTACCTGGGAGTGCATATGGGGAAATTGGTACAAAGAGAACCGAAGAACGATCCAAGTAGCATCGTCAGCGGCCAATTGTATCCAATTTTCAACGCATTTTCTAGGTTCTGCAAGAAGAAGGAAATAGGACATTAGAGTGCCAAGAAAAGAAAAACTAAACAATTTGAAGTTGGGGAAGTACAGAAAAAATGATAATAACCAACCAAAAAAAGTTTTTGAAACTTAAATTGTATTTTTGGTTTTCTTTTGTTTTTTTCAAAAAAACTTTGTTTTCAAAGTAGTG